CATTTTGCTCAATAATAAAAATGAAACCTGGACATCCCTGGTGGCACAGTAGTTAAGAATCCGCCTGCTAATGCAGGGGACAAGTGTTCGATCCCTGATCCGGGAAGATCCCACATGCCGCAGAGCAACTAAGCCTGTGCGCCACAACTACTGAGCCTGCGCTCTAGAGCCCGTGAGGCACAACTACTGAAGCCCGCACGCCTAGAGCCCGTGCTCTGTAACAAGAGAAGCCACCGCAATGAGAAGCCCACGCACCGCAAGGAAGAGTAGCCCCCGCTCACCGCAACTAGAGAAAGCCCGTGCGCAGCACCAAAGACCCAACGCAGCCAAGAATAAATAAAATAAATTTTAAAACTATTCTGGGTAAAAATATATATATAATATTTTGGAATTAAATCGAAGTACCTGTTGGTTAACACTTTAAACTGAATTTCAGCAGGAAAAACTCTTGAGGTATTTTAATGATTGATAAATTTCTCAGTCCATCTCATGTTGTCATTCCAAATACGACTGTCCTGCACTTGCAGCTGCCAACAAACCTCCCTCCATCTCTCATCTAAGACCCTCTCCAAATGTCATCTCAGCCCAAAACCAACTTTCCCAAACCAAGCAGGTACTCTCAACTGCCCTATCCACCCCAAATCAGTCTAGTGATTAACCTTTCTCTAGATTAAGCAAACACACCTGCATACAGCACTGTACACCATGTTAGAAATGCCACTGTATAGCCTTTACCCACACAGTCCAGTGCTTGGCTCTGCAGTTACTCAACTATCAAACCACAAAGTTCAGCAGGGACCTAATACCTTTAGCACAATATATAGACAACATTTTTTTTAATTATGTCCTTGAGTGATGATCTAAAGTCAAAAAGAGCTGAATAAATTTATAAACATCCTCTTGAATAAAAGAGACTAAAAAATAACTACAAATCTTTAGGTGCCTTTCAGCAACAGGCAAAGATTTACAGTCAAACTTGTTAAAACGTCTACAGTAAAGTCATAATTTTTCTTTTAATAACCTGTCTTCTTATCCTCTCTCCCACTTTTGTAAAGCTTAAAAATGACCTTGTAACAACCTGACCACATCCTTTCTATTGTAAACATTTTCCAATGGGGCCAGTTCCACTTGAAGAAGTATAGAGTCATATCAAAATCCCACTCCCTGAAGTCTAATGGTTCCAAATCTCCCAGGTAACCAAAATCCCCAGAGACTTTCAGCCAATTTAACAACTATGTACAAGAAGAAATTTTTTTTTCAATTACAAAACATTCCAGTTAGAAAACAAATTCTATTTACAGAAATAAAAATACCCTGCCATAACAAAACCATACCATTTACTGATTAAATGTTCTTTCATTCTCATTTAAATTATTCTGAAATACTGGTTCACAGCCAAATAAATCCAGAAAGAAAAGTTTCAGGAAATTATAAGGTAGAAAAGATTTAATAAAAAATATTTAGCATTCAAAATACCTGCCTTATGGTCTTCTGCTTTCTGGATTGTATTCATTTCTTTAATGTGAACATGACATGAAGTCATAATAAAAAGGCCAATGAAGTTTGGACAGTTCAGCTTTTCTATAGACTTCAGAGTCAAAAGATAGCAGCTTCTACATCACCATTCTACAGCTAAGCCCAGTCTAGTCACCACTGTGAAAGCAAAAGTACCCTACAGAAGCAGCAAGATTATGAATAAGAAAAGCATTTTTAAAGAGAAAAATCATAGTTTACAAAAAGACGGAATTCCCTTTCATATGTGCTTCTCATTTTGCATCTCTTCAGTTGCATCTCTCAAAAAGTTAACAAATTTTAAGTTAAATATCTGATAATGCCAAAGCTAAGAAATCTAAAAAGAGCCACCAAAAAAGAAAAGGAGGAAGGAAGGGAGGGAGGGAGGAAGAAAGGAAGGAGAGATAAAAACTGGTGGATCAATAACAACTAAGTGATGAATTACTTTCCTAATGATGCTATGCATCTTGGGGTAGAGTGACCAAATTCAGCTTAGTTTTTGGCTGTCTGACTTAGTCACAGAAAAACACAATTATTCAGCAGAATCATTTCACAAAAGAAAATCTTTGAACTTTGTGGACTACGCCCCATACATCCCTACCACAGGCCTCAGACAGTTCCCAACTTTGTATCACACAGATGGCCGTGCAGTAGAAAAACACAGACCTTTGTGAGAACTAACAAGAATTCACTTACAACCTCTAACTCCTCTCCTTCAGCAGTAGAAACAAGAAAGGGTACAAGAATATACTAAAAGGCATTTGGGTAGGATAAGCAAATTGCTGAAGTACTTGCTTCAGGGGGGGAATGTAAAAAACCCAACTTCCTAGGTCTAACACAGAAAGGTATCTTAATCATGTTGAAATTAAAAAGAAAAAAACACACCTGATACAACTTTTAGTTACTTTTTGTTTTTGCTTTCATCGCTAGAGTTTTACTGATTTGATAAACCAGGCAAATATCCTGCATATATAAATCAAGTTAATTGCTGTCATTTAAAAGGTTGTTAAAGCTTTATGCCCACATTCTTTAATTCACTGAACTTTAAAAAATCCATTTTCATTTAATTTTCTCAGCAAATTCTAGGCTTTAAGGAACTGACTCATCTACTGACAACTTAAATCTGACTTGTTGGGAAAGTTCATGATTCATCCTTCAAACCTAATGTCTGCAAATATACCTGTATTCCAAAAACGAGAAATAACAGATTAATACAGGCCCCATGTCCACAAGGACTCCCAAAAACCACAGATACCAAACCTGCACAGTACTGCCTCAGCTAAAAAGTGATCTTCTGACTAAGAAGTCTCCCAGGTCAGAATTTTTAGTTATTTTAGATATTAAAAAAAGTAAGAATTGTTATAAAAGCATCAGGATTAGGGCGAAAACGACCATGACCATAACTCCAGGTTTACACACATGTTGTCCTTCAGTTTATTAATATTGCCCCCTTTCACCCTCAAAAGAGTTCTGTTGCAAAGCAAAACTTACCAGTGGTGATGGAAGTCAGTATAGTGATCACCTTGGAAGGGGGAGGGTGTTTACTGAACGGAAAGAATGTAAAGAGAGCCCTTCGGGAGGCTGAAAATGCTCTATATCTTAATCTGAGTGTAGCTACCAAAGCGTATACATACGTAAAAAGTCATTGAACTCTATGTACTTAAATTTTACTGTAAGTTAGGCCTCAATAAATAAATGTATATATAAAATTTCAAAAACATATTAAAATACATGTGTAACTATCTTTCCAGATAATTACATGAAATCATCCAGAGCTCCCAAGATATTTTCTCTAAATGTATTTTAATAAAGATGCACATTGTGAGCACTTTTATGTAGAACCTTTCAAAGACCGAGATTTTTTTAATCGTTCACTTTAAAAAGTCACCGAATTTTAGAACTGAAAGCAGCAGAATAATGATCCACTCATCCTCTAACTCTGCAAATAAGGAAAACCAAATCTGTAAAGGGTAAGAAACATACCCAAGATAAGGCAGCTAGTCAATGACAACAGCAGTAATGTAACTGTTTCCGGATCTTGGGCCACTCCCGTTTCCACCAAGCAGTTACTTTTCTGACATTATAAACAAATCTCAACTCTGAATCTACCTGTGGCCTAGAAAGATTCAACATATCCCTCAAAACACGAGGCCAACAGGCCCCAAAGTGTATGCAAAAAAACACTCATCTTCCTTCCTCCTGTCAAGACAGTTGACAAATGAACAATTACATTTTCAGGCATTTTGCTTGCGATGCAATAAAGTGTGACATCTGAAAAATGCGGTTCCAGAGAAGAAGGCATATGCAGGGATTGACAAGATCCATCTTATTTCCTTTCAAATCTCTCTGATGGTTTCTTGGTTCTCAAGACTATATCACTGCTAAGTAGGGCTCACGAAACCTCGCTGAGGGCCGTCCATCCGCATGGCTTTGAGAGAACCGCTGGGAATAACCCCCACTAAATAAAACGCCTGGCCCTGGCAAGGGTGTCCTACCCCAATCCTGGCGCATAACAAAACGTGCAGGTGACCTGTCCTTTACGGCTCAGTTTTAGAACCCAGTGAGCAGCTGACATCTTGTGAAAAACTTAACATACATCCTTTCCGCGGGAATTTATCTCTGTTCTCACAAGGCGTTTCTGCTCCCCACAGGGCAGGCCTGCCTTCTCAGGACACTCTGCTCGCCTCTCCATAGCCTCTTTTCAAGGTCCAAAACGAGACTTTAAGAACAGAAATCGAAACGGTCACGGACCTCCCGAGCGGCAAGCCCGGCTGGGGTCGAGCAGCGGGTTCCCCGCGAGCCCTCGGCCCGCTCGCGCGGCGCTAGGAAGGCCCAGCGCACTCCACCACGCTGGCCCGAAGCAACCGGTTGCGGCGGCCGCTAGACGCTCAGCGGCCGCCTCGGCCCTGCGAAGTTCGGACCTCCGCGCGGGCGGCGCGCCCCCGGGCCCTGCTGCGGGTTCGCGCCCCGGCCCGGAGCGAGCCCGGGGGGCGGGTCCGCGGGGGCTCGGCGGGCGGGAGGGCGGGACGCGCGGGGAGGGGCGCGCGGCGGGCCCAGCGCGCCGGGGAACTTGGGCGCCGGCGTTGCCGCCGCCCGGCCACTTTCCTTTCACGCCCCAAGGCTGCCGCTCGGCGCGCTGTCCGCCCGGGACGGCCGGCCGCCGCCGCCGCCGCCGCCGCCGCGGCGAGGCGCCCCAGGCGCGCTCCTGCTGCCCGGCAGGCCGGCGCGCGGGGACGCGCCAGGCCGCGCGCGGGCGCCGCGTTTCCCCCCACACACACACACCCGCCCCGCCCCCGCCCCACGTGCTGCCGCCGCCCGTTGGCGCCTCTGACCGCGCGCCCGCCGCCCTCCGGCTCCCGGCGGATTTTCGTTGCCAAAGTTGCGTGGCCGCCTCGAGGGGGACGCCGCGCGATCCACCGCCCCGGCGCCGCCGCCGCCCCTTCAGGCCGCCGCGCGGGAAGGCCCAGTCGGCGGCCCCGCTTTTTTACCTGTCGGGAGTTTTCGCGCGCGCACTCGCTCGATCGCTCGCTTTTCCCTTCTCGCGCTCGTTTTCTTTCTTTTCTTCTTTTCGTTCCCCCGTGCGGGCGCTTTTTCCGCTTGCGCCGCCTGCACTCGCCCGCTCGCGCCCTTCTTCCTGCTGGGCTCCGCGGAGCGGGGCGGCCGGCAGCTCTCCCCGCCCCCCTCCACCCGCGCTCCGGCGGAGGCGGCGGCGGCGGCGCTCAGCGCTCCGACTCATTCCAATATGGCACGGGCGCAGGGCGCATGCGCCCGCGCCCCCCCACCATCCGCGCTCCTCCCGGCAGCCCGCGCCCCTCGCGCCGCACGCGTGGCGCCCCCCGGCCTGGCCTCCCAGAACTCGCCCGCTTGTCTTCCCGCACCGCTGGGCGGTTGCGGGAGGCGAGGCGGCCGCGGACTGGGGTCCTGGGGTGTCCAGCGCCGCCAGCCGCCCCAGCCCCACGTGCCCGCAGCCCACAACTTGCAGCGGACACCCCCGAGGCCGTGGCGCAAGGCAAGCGGCGGCGCCTCCGGCCCCCGACGGCGCTGCGACCCCGCGCTGCCTGGCCCCGACAGGGAGACGCGCCCCCAGGGACCCAGCGCCCACCCTGTCCCTGCTCCAACCCACGAGGGAAGGGCCCCCGCGCCTCACCTCGGGTTGTGGACAGAGCCCAGGAAACCGGGTGGCGTCCCTGTGTAGATTTTGGCGTCCGAGCCGGGGGAAGCGCGATGCTGTCGTCCGCACGTGACAGCCTCCGGCAAGATGGCATTAGCGGAGGAACGGACCGAGCGACAGCTGGATACCAGATCGGCGCGTGTCGCCGTGGGAGAGGGCTGCGTCCGCCCGCTTGGCCCACGTCGGAGACGTGGCGCGACCCTTGAGATCTGGGAAGGCACCCAAGTGCCCCCTGTCTGCGAAGTCAGACCCGGACCCCCGGCACACCCGGTGTCTCTAGGCTTCCGCAGGAGGTGCCCTGTAAATCCAAGCTTTCCTGCCGCTCGGGGCCCCGGCGAGGGGGCACAAGACGGCTGCCGAATTCCGGTGGGAGTGCAGGGGGCCCGGGGTCGGGACAGAAGCTCGAAGGTGGCTACAAGCCAGCCCCGCAACCCGAGGTGCCCACGGGCGTTATGTTACCCGAGCTTGCCCCTTCCCCAGAGGGGACAGGTGCCAGTGGGACACCCCTATCCCCACCTGCTCTGGAGAGTTCCATGCAGCAAGGAGTCCCCGCGCCGTGGAGACCCAGGAGCGCCTGGACTTCCGGGCCGAGGGAGGAGGTCTCCAAGAGGGCTTTGACGGCTCCTGCCTTTCGGGGAGGAGGAGGCGCCCCCACCGCAAGAAGGAGGTCTGGGGTGCCAAATGCGGCTCAAATCACTTCCTACTGACCTCAACCATCGCGCTGGAAAATATTACCCCACTTTACAGACAAGAGTTGCTCAAAGTCACGCTGCTGGCTAGATTTGAATCCAGTTTTTTTGTTTGTTTTTGCTTTAACTGCCACTGAAAAGAATAAAAAAACCAGGGAGAAAGAAACATGAAAAAAGAATAAAGTAGTATCCATAATACTACTACAAAGTGCAACTTTTTACACATGAAACCTTCCGCTTATATGCACGTGTTTACATAGTTGCAACCACACATTCTCTTTTGTGTTTGCTACCATCGCTAACATTTTTCTTCTGTTCACACGATTCATTTTTAATGTGTGCAGGTATCCTCATCCATTCACTCAGTCTCTTAATGCCTATTTTGGTTCCTTGTAATTGTTTGCTAATGTGTATCTTAGTTCTGCACTTGGAACAAATTCCTGACAGTCGAATAACCAGGTGGAAGGTTAAGGAACAGCAAGGTGTTCTTGCCCCACAGTGCCATAGGGCTTCCCAAAGAGCTGCCCCACTTACTCTGCACCTCCCAGGAACAAGTGTAAAAGAGTTCAATACACATTTCTAAGCGTTGGGTACCATCATTTTTTCTCCCCTATTTTAACAGTGTCTATTGGTATTTCAAGGTTACTTCAGTATTTCTTAGATGACTTTAAAAAGAAATGTTTTTTCCATGCATTTACTATTCTGTATTTCCCTTTCTGTAAATGATCTGTTCATATCCATTCATCTTTTGGGGACTTGAACCTCTTCTAACATTGAATAAGCATTTTTTATGTTATAGATATTGCTCTTCTGTCATAAGTGATCCAAATATTTCCCAGTCCATTGTTCTTTTTTGTTTTATTCAATCTGTCATTCTGGTCCTTTGTGATTTTTTAAAATTGTTTCAATGCAGACAAACCTTTCTTCGACCCATCTGATAGTCTTATTTTCTGTTAGTTTTCTAAAACTTCATTTTACATCTAGTTCTTTGGTGATTATCCATGGCAAGTTCATTTTGCTGTGTGGGGTAAAATATAGATTTAACTAACCACCATCATCACCAGTTTTTATGCAGTCACCGTTAATTAAATAATTCTTCCCTTATTCTTTGCTTAGTAAAATCTACTTTTATGCTAGGCTTTTGATTTTGGTTGGTCTGTTTCTGAATTGTCCATTTCCTTTCACAGACTTTGGTTTAAGCAAATACCATGTGGATCTAAATATTGGTTCTTTAAAATAGGTTCTCACATCTGGCAGGGCTAGAACCCTCCTCATGGGGTCTTCTTTTATTCAGAATATTACTTGATATCCAGACTGGTTTAAGTCCGTACACATTTTAGGATAATCATACAGGGCTTAAGAGTGCTGGCTTTGGAGATGGGATCATCCAGGTTCAACACTCACCAGCCCTGTGACCTTGGCAAGTTGCTTATCACCTCTAGGCCTTATGGTCTTGGTCTGTAAAACGGGGATAAAAGTAACACCTGCCTCACAAGCTCAATGCCTGTCATATAGTGTATATATATATATATATATATACTCAGTAAATATCAGCATTGTTATTGATATTTTTCCCAAAAAAATGGGATTTTGCATGGAGTTACGTTAAACCTATGAATTCATTTAAACAGATCAAATATTCTATAATATTTCATTTTCCCAACCAGGACATGTGCTATCTTTCCTCCAAATATGTTAAAACTCAGACAGAAGCGAGGTCCCTCGTTGACTCCAGCCTCTCTCTGTTGCTCATCTTCACGACCCCCTGAGGAAGAGGAAGAGCAGAAAGCCACAAGGAACAATTGAAAACTACCATTTAAGAGTCTGGCTTGTGCAGGGCCTCATGTAGGTGTGGACATGTATGCACATGCAGGAAATCTTCTTTACCCTTTGCAACATCCCCCAGGGCAGGTCATGGCATTCTCTATGGACAAAGAGCAAACTGGGAGTTTCCAGGTCACTCAGTGAGAGCCAGAGCTAGACCACAAACCTGGTGGACCAGCCCCTCAACCCCTCTGCCACTTGGAATTTCGTATAGTAGTTATTCACAGAGGAGGCAATGTCAGAGGAGCATGGAGGAAACTGACTTCTGATCATGGCACACCCCTGCTCAAAAGCCTCCCAGGGCTTCCCGTTGCACTTTGAAAAAGCCAAAAGACTTACTTTGGCCTCTGAGACTGGTCCTGGCCATCCTACAAACTCACCAGGCACCACTCACCAGTCTTGCTTGCTGCAGTTCACCTGTACCTATATCCTTTCCATCCCATAAGTATGACAAGCCCCTTCCCACCTCAGGACCCTTGCACACTCTGTTCCTACTGCCTGGGACACCCTCCATCCCACCTCATGCACCCACCTTCACATAGTTAGTACCATCTCATTGTCCCAGTATCTGTTTAAGAAGGTAGTCTCCTGGACTTCCTCCTGGTGGTGCAGTCGTTAAGAATCTGCCTGTCAATGCAGGGGACACAGGTTCGATCCCTGGTCCGAGAAGTTTTGACATGCCACAGCACAACTAAGCCCGGGCACCACAACTCCTGAGCCCGTGTGCCACAACTACTGAGGCCCGCAAGCCCTAGAGCCCATGCGTGGCAACTACTGAGCCCACACACGGCAACTACGGAAGCCCGCGTTCTCTAGGGTCTGCACACCTAGAGCCCGTGCTCTCCAACAAGAGGAGCCACCGCAATGAGAAGCCCACGCACCACAACGAAGAGTAGCCCCCACTCACTGCAACTGGAGAAAGCCCGTGCACAGCAACAAAGACCCAACACAGCCAAAAATTAACAAATTAAATAAATAAATAAATAAGAAGGCCTCCTTAGAGAAGTCTTCCCTGCCCACTCCACCTAACAGGTTCTCTCTCTCCCCACAATTGGTACCTATAATTTATCTGTATTTTTGTCATTTTGTGGGGTCTGTCACCCTTGTCTAATAACCCCACAGACATCAGTCCCCCTGAGGGCAGAGATGTGCCTGTTTCATTCACTATGAAGCTGGCTCTTTCCCTGAGAAGCAACAGGTTGATGAGAGGGTGGCTAGTGGGTCAGCTGGCAACATCTGAGACCAGAGGTTGGCACACCCATGACGTACCCTGGCTATTCCCAACTCAGTCTCCACTTCCTACTGGTTCTGGGGGTGGAGGCTATGACCTCCTGCCCTCACTGACCAAGGGGTCAGCGTGTGATCATTCCATATGAACCCCCGTCCCGTGCTACGTCCAAGCAGTCCTACTCTCTGCAGGTGGGTGTCAACTCAGGGCCTTGTTCTGAATGAGAGCATTAGGGCCAGGCCTGGACTCTGGGGACCCACAGAGCCCTCAGCCAGGACGTGGGCCCATTTTCCACCCAAGAAGAACTTAAAGTTCTGCAGCCTCCCAGGCCCTGCTATCAGCAGCCCTCCATTGCCACTGACCAGCCAGCACCCTTCAATCAGCCCAAGGGAAGCAAGTCACATGATGATGCCCTGTGGCTAATCATGCAAAGGATCAAGTAGACCACCACCAAAGAGTCCCTGCTTACACCATGCCACTCTCCATTGAAGCCCAGTTCACTATGCTGGCCCTGCTTCCCTAGGGGCACAGGCCACTGTCACGTGTCCCTTCAACACCTGCCTGGCTCCACCTCCACGTCTTGGCTCCTGCAATTTCACCCCGCCAGGCATCCCTCTCTCCTATACCGTGTTGTAAGGGAAAGAGCAGTGTGCTTGGAGGCACACAGCTTGGGGGTCAAGTCCAGATTTAGTCACTGTTTATTTATGAGACCTCCTTTTTTAAAATTTTAATTTAATGTATTTATTTTTATTTATTTATTCATTTTTGGCCACGCCACGTGGCTTGCAGGATCCTAGTTCCCCGACTAGGGATTGAAC